TCTTGAGTGTAACAGGGGGCGGTGCCCCAACCCCCCAATCAGCCCTACCCTGAGCATGACTGAGGGTGGCATTGCAACCTCTTGATCCGCCCTGCTCTGTGCATGACAGGGGCGGCGCCTCAACTCCCCAATCTGCCCTGCTCTGAGCCCGACCAAGGGCTGCACCTAGGGATTGGGCCTGCCCTCTGCCACCTGGGAGCAGGCCTAAGCCAGCAGGTCGTTATCTCCTGAGGGGTCCCAGACTGCAAGAGGGCAGAAATGGGGCTGAGGGATACTCCCCCCACTAGTGCACAAATTTTTGTACACCGGGCCTCTAGTCTTAAATAATAAAATAATATGCAAATTCACCAAACGGCTAAATGACTGGTCGATATGACACACACTGACCATCAGGGGACAGGTGCTCAATGCAGGAGTTGCCCCCTGATGGTCAGTGTGCTCCCACAGGGGGAATGTTGCTCAGCCAGAAGCAGGGTTCATTGCTGGTGAGTGTAGCGGTTGTGGTGGGAGCCTCTCTTGCCTCCACGGCAATGCTAAGGATGCCTGACTGCCCCCGAGGGCTCCTGGGCTGTGAGAAGGTATAGGCTGGGCTGAGGAACACCCCCTAAGTGCATGAATTTCACGCACTAGGCCTCTAGTCTTTAATAAAAATGTATATTATATCCCTCAATTTATTTCTCTCAATATTTATTGTTTTTATTGTAGAGGATTTGCTGATGTTTTGCTTGATGTTTTTCTTAATAGTTGATGGCTTTGATGTTATGGCAAATGTTATCTTTTTAATTTACAGTTTTTCTTCTTACATATAGAAAACACAATTGATTTCCTACATTGACTTTACAGGTAATGACTAAATTTTTAACTAACATCATAAAATATCTTTATAATATTCTTATATATTTCTTTAACTTGTTTTAATTGATCCTTGCACACGGATTTCACTAACATGTCAAACTCATTTCAATATTATAAATTTTGCTCAAATTGTCTGTTTTGTCTAGAAATTGTTTTAAATTTAGGAAAAATAGTTAAGGAAACTTAAATAATTCACTTGTAAATTAAACAATAATTTTTTTTTCTACTTGGATCCAGGCATGTTCTGAGGTACTGTGGATTCAAGTATGTAAAAAACAGACATTCTTATTGCTTACCCATATTTAATGAAACCAATATGTAAATAAAATATATAATTATCTACCCAGGATCAGGTGATTCCAGAAGAAAGCTTGGAAGATAACTTTTAAGCTGAGATAAATACATCACTAGGCTAAGCCAAATGTACAAATAAGGATATGTATAAATTCTTTTAGTGTTTTGCCTCAAAACATGTAATTATACTTTCTTTAAAAAGAATGAAATTCTGTTTTGTCCCATATAGTCTTATTTCAAATAACATAATTCTAAATTACCATACTTTGGACCTTTTTAGTGTTTTTAAATGAACTAATACATATGAAATAGGCACATTTATGCTTGTAATTAGAAAATATTTTGATTTGATTTGATTGCTAGTTACACATTAAAACTCTACAGTTGAGAACACATCAGTATTCAAATAATCTTGCAACACTTTAGATCCTAGTGTGAATATTTTTACTAGTAAATTCTCATCTATGACATTTGTCAAGCAGTTTTGGAATGTTTGCCTAATCCCTTACATGAAACAAGTACCTCTATTTTACATGAAATATACATATTATCCTATCTAATAAAGAGGGAATATGCTAATTGATCCTCACACCATCGCAAATATGGCAACACCCACAGCCAATAAGAAGGGAATATGCTAATTGACTGCCCCGCCCTCAAAGATGGTGGTGGTCACAGCCAATAAG